GCGTGTGTTATTTAGTTTAAGTTTGATTAAGATATAAAAGAAAAAAGTTCTAGTGATATTTTATCGGTAACAAGCTTAGACAGGTCGCCCATTTTCTTTGATATTCATTACAAAGTTTCATAATGCTAAGTATATCCCTAGCAACTTATTCCATTGACAGTTAAATTGGCCGCCTGTTACTTTATTTGAAATGACTGAACTTTTAGACCCTGTATAATTTTGTGTTTATTTCATAACAATTTAAATAAGGCTTTATTATATTATATATACTAGTTAAGGACCTTTTTCTTCAAATGTCAAGCTAATAACGAGATTTTGAGACACGAGTGATCTCAAAAAATTCACTTAATACCTGAAGCCTAAAATTGAACTATGGTGTGAGTTTCGTCTTCAGGCGTCATATTACAATCGGTATTCCCAATAACGCGTTGATGTCTTTATTATGTTGTCATAGTTTTTGTACCTTTTTTAATAATTTTCGTGTCTTAATATATCAATATAAGCCAATTTTATATTGTATTAATAATTAATAACGTGCATTAATATATTTTTTGTGAAATTTTAGTAACATTTTCTTTCGTTTTTCTTTGGTTGAGCTTGTGTCTTAAGGACAGTTTGCTCTTGCGGTCAACTAGCGGGTGGAGGCGACTAGTGACGAATTTGAAACAATTGCGGACAGTGCAAATGTGTTTCCCGAAGGTCATTTCATGGTCGAATGTGAGCCCAAGATATTTGGTGGTTGTTTTCCGCGGGATCTGGCGGTCAGATCGAATGATCGTGCCGGATGCACATTTTTTCGGATTTAGTTTCAGACGATTGAGAGAGGGTTTCCTTTAAAAGTATATTGCTATATCTTTTTCAGAGTTTACTTCCATTCTCCATAAGCAAATATATATCCCCAAGTGATTGACAGCTCTTTGGAACATCGTTTTGAGAAATTTCTAACCTCGACATGCGTTTAGAATAGGGCATCGGTGTTTAGGATTCGATGGTTACCCACTGAGTGAGAAGCCTCAAGGATATATTCCGTAAGGTGATGGATGGATGATTGGTGCACGAGTGTTTGGGTCTAAAACCAAACTATTTGTCAGGAAGAAGCCTATTGGCAAAACCTATTTTCGGAGGTGATTTAATATTATTCATTCGTAAATATGAAATTTGGTGCTTGACATCGTTCGTAGCAGTTATACAAAAATATGCAGGTAATTAAACGATAAATTATAAGCATAAATAAATAAATTTTATTTCTATAATACATGGAACAATCATAAAAACATTTTTTAAACTGAAAAACGAAAGCTAATGCTTTTACTATAGCAAAACCTAAACGTTTTTTTTTATTAAGATTTTGGCATGCATGCTTGTCCATTAAGCCGCGTTTTCATTTCATTCGAGATCTCCTTTTTTATGGATTTTTTCTTTACACTGTTAAGCCGCGTCACGTTGTGAAGTTTTTGGGAGATTTTGATGACAGCTCAATCCAGCGGACAGTGGATGACGACAGTCACTCAAGTTCATAAGGCACCTAAGCTATCAAAATAACTTCAGGTGTATACCTACATTTAGTCACTTTTTTCTTTAATAGTTCACATGTACAGATACTTACTGCACATAATCGGATCATATTTATCCACTTCAAATCATTATTTAAACTATAAAAACCAGAGCACCAATTCGTGGTCGGTAAAGTACCCGCTAACCGTTAACCCACCAAATTTTTAAATATTTTCTATATTTTATCTATGGCAATAGATAATGAAGGCTGTTTTTATAATAAAATAGCTTTCATTATCAAAAAAAATAATAATATAGAAACATTGAGGTGAATCTGTATAGACTAATATTAAATAAAAGAAATATATTTAGAGAAACAATTGAATAGGCTACGTTATTAAATTAAAAATACATTTGAATATTATCTGAGATGACTGAATAGGCTCTATGGTCTTTGATCATTGCCTGTTCTGAAAGATACTTAACTTGGTAACATTGAGTTTCAAGTTTCAACTTGTCTAGCGCATTGGGCATTGTGAATGTGTTTTTGGATAGATTTCGTGTTTTTACTTTCATGGATAAATTGAAGTTCACCCTTGACTTTTTTCTAGCCTCTAGCATTACAGAACTGTAGGTTGTTACGCCCATATAATAATAATAATGTGGTACTTGTCTAAAGAGAGCAATAGAACAGACAATGTACTGTGTGCTTTTCTAGACGAAATTTTATAATTAGTTGCAGAAAATAATTAAGCAATTAAAATAGGTTGAGTTTTATTTAATAAAATAATACTTTATTTACTAATAACTACAAAACTTATTTTGTGCCTTTTTCAATTTATTCTAACAACTTATCACAGGAACGAGTGATTTTACTACACAACCTACATCTGGTGATAATATCTGATTCTATTTTACGCTTTAACAGCGATTGATACGTACAGAGTATGACAAAAAAATGCCGAAGAAAAACTTTACACAAAAAAAAACACTATTCCAAACTCAACCCCAGCACCATAAAAAAAGCACGAAAAAAAAAACACGCAAGGACCGACATAAAGGCTCGATACGCCGAAACGATGGTAAGTGGCGGATGGCCAGTGAGAACTACCTTACATATAGAAACTTCTATATTGCTTATGGGGTAGCGTCGGTGGGTACGCAGTGTAAGGACCTTTTGTATTAGATCAAGTTGTCACCCCCACGGCTGGTCAACCTATAATTTCTAATTAAGGTGTAGTTTGCTATCTCGGGATCTGATGGGATGACTTCAAGAGGGTCTCTTGTACTAGCATAACGTCTACAGGTCATGTCCATTAAAGAACGCGGCAAGCAGAGAGCGTGGTTTTGTTCTATCTAACGGTTGTGCTGCCATTTTGATGTTTTAGGGAAGTTGATCACGTGCATTGGAAAGACCAGATTGCATCAATAAGTTCTTGCTTAACGGTAGCGTTCAGTTTTTCATGAGGGGTGGTAGCTCCACGGAGCTTGCGGGCCAGAGTAGATAATTCTACATATGCTTCAATAATGTTGCTGATAAAACCGCTGACTAGAGAGAAGTCGACGGTGAATAGAAAGCCTTGTAGTGCAAGGGCTTCGGTTTTGGGGCCTGAGGGGGTGGCATTATCCGTGAGACAATCAGTGCCGGTGGTTCCACACCGAACCCAAGCATTGGGTTTCGGAGTGGGAGGCGCGGGAAGGCTTGCACCTTGCTAGGGAACCCCTGTGGCGGGGGCGGGCATAGTGTTAGTCTGAGACGCAGTTTTCTGCACCGAGGATGGTGCGGGTTTGGTATCAAGCTGGCTTTGCACAACAATGAGAGCAGCAATACAGCCACCAAATACAGAGCACCAAGCTGTAGGCGAGGTGTGACAATGAAACAATCTGTGCGCATGAGCAAATAGAGTGAATTGACAGGAGTCAATTCACTCTCTTTGCTCATGTCTTTTCTCAACCAATACGGCCGAAGTCTACAATGCCCAAGGATAGAATGTAATGTGTAATATCTTGCCACCAGCATCCATTGACTTTCTGTATGACTTACCAGGTCATCACTCCATCTAGTGGGGGTTTTTGTGAGAGTTGCACAAGAATCTGCGCACAGAAATTGCACTTATTGATTCCTTCTTTAGTTCATTCATCATCCATTTACAAAATGAACAAGGAGATCCTATCCATGAACTCGATTTTAATTTTTATCACACTAAAGTATTGGGATTCTCTATCACAGTAATATTTCCAATTCCGTGACTATTCTGAGCTTTTAAAGGCAAGATTAATTAGTATCTTGGCTTAGCGTAAACAAAATCTTGGACTACAGTGTATCTTGCCTTCAGATACGTTGAAAGTTAAACGCTTGCTTAGTGAGTAAAAAATTCAAATACTTATTAGAAATAATTATTTCTTCAGCTACTCACTACCCATGCAATCTATCAGTAAACTTTCTAGTAACATAAGTAGTTGTTAGCTTAACTATTCTAAAAAACACTACAATTTTACTATAACTTTTTTCTGAACGAAGAAATTTATTATTATTTTATATTATGTTGTTAAGTTTACTTCGATGAACTGTGGTAGTGTTGGTATTTGACGTAGCCGGAGGTTTAGTATGACATTTGTAAATGTCACGTCTTTAATAATTGCACCTCATGAAAAATTCAAACGATACAAGTACGTTGACAAAAAAAAAAGCCGACAAAAATAAACAAAATTGATTTAATTATTGTACTAAAACAGTCCAATATAATAAAAAGGAACTTATATTAGTGACGCCTTAAAATTATAACAAAAATTAAGACTAGTTAACATTAAAAAAATAAAGGAGGAACATACATTCATTTTGGTTACATGTGGAGTATTTGAATATGTCACCTTTTTTATAAAGTCCCCTAGACCAGATAGCGGCTAATTATAAAGGAGTGCATGCGCAACCACAGGTGCACTTTCTACTCCCTCACTCTCATTGTCTGATGGGACGGTAAACTGACACGACCGGAGAGATATCTGGCAAGGATCAACGGCTTTACGTGCTTTCCGCGGCACGGGGGTGAGACACCGCCAACTTCCTAACTTCGGGCAGCTACTTAGAATTTCTTGACGAAAAAACTCAATAACTGATTTTATTGGCCCGACCCGGTATTTGAAGCCAGGACCTCATTATCAGCAGTCGCGTTTACAACCATTAGATCAACGAGGCAGTCATTCTATTGTATGCAAATGGGGGTGAACGATTCCTGCCAACTGCCCACCATCATTATTATTATTATTATTTTGTAAATATCTTGTCGAATGTACGTAACATGTTTTGTAACATTTGAAAGTATAGTATATCATTGTAAAACCTTCCAAAACTGGGTAACAGTAATGGCTTTTTTATAAAATAAGAGTGACAAACGAGCACCTGATGGTAATGTATGTATGCTATGTTCCATATAAATCTATGCACCTCAATGATTAAGAATTGAAATGCAGATGAGATTAATATTTCATATCAACGGTAGTTCATGTTAATGATATCCAGTTTCAACAACATTTATCGGTTCTGAAGCGGCATGGTAATTGTTCTGTTGGTACGCCGCTGCATTCAGCTGGTAATTCTGATCTTGATTTTGGGAGTCTTTGTAATGTCCTGTAATACAAGTATGAGAAAAATTTGTAACGTCATACATTTTTAATGATTTCCTATATTTAATATTTGACGACGGTTACGTACCTTTATATAGTATTGATTTTGTACTAAATAGTATAAGGAAGAATAGAAGTTTTTTTGTAAGTGTTAATATTACATGTCCGCAAGAAACCCTACTTCTTAACGAATGTCTATAAACTCCCTACTGCTAAGCACATGCTTGTGCTCAATCTGACCGGAACACAGTAGTCTAAGCACTGCTATTTAGTGGCAGAAGTAGATAAGAGGCTGATTACCTAGCAAGACAGACAGATCACAGAAAGGGAGCCCCACCATCTAAGATTATGGGTTTTTAAACATAATACAGACATTATAATATAAACCTATAAATTTTGAATATTTTGTGATTTTAGGAATGGCACAAAGCATGGTTCTGGGTTATTGGTTACCTAACAGGTATCTGTCTCATCTCTTACCAGTTCATCACTTTACTTACGGGTGCTACTCGAGAACACATAAGTATAAAGGCTTGAAATAGATTATGTATATAATCTACCTTACACAAGAAGTAAAATAACCAGACCGGTGATGAGTAGCAGTGTCAAAAATACAACTACATACCTCAAATATCTTTACAGTGTTACAATTTTTAATCGGATTAATAATTGCAAAGTGTAACATGGTAAAAACTAATACCTTCTACAAAAAGAGTGACCCACGCCCATCTGTGGAATTTAACGGGCTTATAATGATGAAGAAGAACTATGACAGAGTTAAGACCTACCATCATCAAAAATTCCGTTAGCCTCATCTTTTGCATTCTGTTCAAGAGATTTTAATATAGCCTCTGGGACTGGAAGAGGTTTGGGCAGATGAGCACCCTGAGCTCGGAATCCGTGCTCATCGGCGGTGTACGTAACAGTGTAAACTTGACCGTCGTCGCCTGTGTAGGAATAAGCACCTTCCACCTTAGTTCCTTTCTGAGTTTGACCAATTTCTTTAGCCTTGATTCCTGTAATAATCAAAGTTTTATCATTTTCATTAAAATGCTATTATTAAAGCTGACGTATAGTTTGTGAATGTTCTGGGGCTCTTTTTCGGATACTTTTTATTATAAATGCGAGGAGAGACCTATAACATACATCACATAACAAAGTATAATAAAATTTCTAGTATGCCTATTGCTGGGAATGAAGTGATACTGCCTTAACCCTAGGAATTAGGGGCTCGCTACCATGCTGTTTCTAAATGTCTTCATAACAGGTGTATAAATATTATATTGTAACTTATGCTTAAAAAAAAGAGTTTCGCTGGGTTTCTTGCTGGTTCTTCCCAGGACAGAGGTTTATTTTCGAACCAGTGGTAAAATTAAAAATGAAATTAAATAAGAATTACATGTAATTATTATTGAATAAAAATTATTCTATTCTATTCTATTATAAAAACCGGGCCCACTGGACCCGATATCAAAAAATGGAGACACAAAATAAAAATAATAATGTCTTCCAGATCGAATTACTGTCCCAGTGGTTAGTCTTAAAACAGACTATATAGTTCATGCGCAAGACAGGATTATAGTACTTAAATGTATGCCTAAACTCAGATCAACTCTCTATTCCATAACGTCAATCGCTCCGTTTCGATGACACGGCAATCCACCGGACCGGATAAAGATCAAAAGCGTGACCAACGCTTTACATGCATTCCGGCGCACGGGGGTGAAACTACCGCGAACTTTCTGACTCCAGGCTGTTACAAAAAGGGTCAGAAAAACTCAATAACTGATTTTTAGTCCAAACCGAGATTCGAACCCAGGGCGACATGATCAGGAGTCACGTTTAAAACCACTAGATCAAAGAGGCAGTCAAAGATCTACTAAACTTAAGAGATTAAAGATGCCTAAAAGATCACATGACCATCGTTATAACCGTTAGATAAATGATTTTGTGTGAAATAACCAAGCCTATTTATCAACCAAAAGTAGCAATTTAGTAAAATTCTCCCTACAATGGGATAAGCCCGTATATAGCCGTCGACTGCAACAGTCTGATTAAAGAAGAAGACGAGTAATATATATATACTTTGACCATCACCTTTTTGTGGTTTTTTAATTAACTATCTATCGCGTTCTGTTCATGAAAATTGTTTTGTGAAACTGATTTTGATCACGAATATAGTTTTTTTTTATATATAGAATTAGTATGACAAACAAGCACAATCCACCTGATAGTAAGTGTATGTGGCCAATGGGCAACTACATTTTTCCTCAATTAAGAATTAAAATCCAGATGCGTTGTCACCCTTGAGGGCTAAGATGGAATACCTCGTTTCCAGTTAAAGAGTTATCCAGTTTTATACATTCACCATACGATATACAGCAGCATTAAAGCTGCTAATACGCTGGTATTCTGTGAGAGCGTGGTTTTACTTCGGTTGAGCCGACCCATTCGTGCTGCAACTATAATATAGCTGCTGCGTGGCTCTACCTCTTAAAAAATACATCATGTTGTCATAATATAGCTACCAAATACTACCATATACAATATAAAACACGGAACTGTCAGCGTTTACAATAATTGAATTGACGCTGTTGGAAAACGTGGGCGTGAGGGTTGTAGTCATTTGTCTTGACGAATCTGTGTCGGTCAATATCCACTACCCCATAACTTCTAATGGGTGTCGTAAGATTTCAAATAGTAGCTAAAAATAAAAAGCTGGGGTTGTCAATCCGTGTACGAAGCGTGGAAAGTATTGCAAAAATCCCCTCTATGAGGAAATTTATGGAGACGGCCTATGTTCAGCAGTGGGATTTTGATAAACTGTAATATTACCTGTAAGGGAATATAAAAAAAAACTGGCGAGGATACAAAAGGACTATCACAGCATATCCAATCAGAACAACAGTCAATTGTTATTATTCACAAATTTTAACTCCGAACCAAGGAACTTCGATTTGTTATATGCGAATCGAAGTTCCCAGTAGACGAAGATAAAGGTTTTTTTGAAATAAACCTACCATTTTCAGTCTCGTAACCATAATTGTAATTATGATCATTATTTTCTAAATGGTAGTGTAATATCTTGGCCGTTTTCTCAGCTAGTGGCCTGCTGATACTTTCTGTTTGCTGGCTTTTGTAAGCTTGTGAATGGTCAGCATAGCTCTCGTGCGGGTAATCTGCAGCTGATTGGTAAGTTTCAGCGGCATTCCGATAGTTCTCCAGTTGTTGTTGTTCATTGTAGATCCGTCTTGCCGATACGACGGCTGCAATAGCGACGACTGAGATTATCTGTAATGAAATCAATACAGCATGAGATGCACTCTCAGCATAACGAACAGTGCCAATGTCCAGGTGTAGATCACATTCATTATTATGTAAAAAAGTAAAGTTATAGCCTATATACGTCACACTGCTGGGCACAGGCCTCCCCTCATTTCTGAGAGGGTTTAAGGGCAAGGAAGTGTCCACCGCGCTGCCCCAAAGCGTGTTGGCGAACTTCAAATGTCTTCGAAATACTTTTTGTTCTTATTCCACAGATGTTTTCCTTCACCGCCGATCACGTGGTAAATCAGCACTTAAAATTGCAATAAACAATTTCATTGGTGCCGGCGGGGATCGCACCCGGATTCCTCGCGTGCTGTTATATTTACAGCGAGCGTTAACCATCTGAACTACTACGGCTATTATGTGATTTCACATAATTTCAACTATCAAAAGTCCACTACTGGATATAGGCCTCCTTTATAGATCCTCACAGAAGGGATATTTGGCACAGTTGCCACGTTGGCAGACGAGTTGGCAACCGCAGATTTTTATCATTTAATAGTTAACAGGGAGTTGCTTCTGCCCATCTACTTCTTTGTTTTGCATCTGTTTCCTATTATAACACCCACATGATGATATGCGGTAGTGGGTCACTGTAGGGTACATCATAAAAAAAAACATTTTTGGCGAAAATATTAAGAACTGTTACTTGTAAATGACATAGAACTTTTTTTCTACCTAGGATCCTATCTAGGTAGGTAAGACTGTCTTAACTATTTCTACCGCCAAACACTACATTAACAGGTATTCCATCATAGTCCTCAAAGAAGACAACGCGTCCCTGTAGCCTCCTCTATTTGAGGATGTTTGCAGGAGCTCATTAACTGTACTCTATGGGCAAGTAGCCTACCAAAGTAAAAATTATTATAAAAATCATAACGCCACACCTAGTTTAATCACTGCCAAACAAATTTCACTGCTAAATGTGGGTAGTCACAAAAAATCACAAAGTGTCTTAAAACTGCATAATTAGACAAAAGAGACTGCAAATTAACTGAACTGAAATAAACGCTACACGGCAACTAGCACTACGTGGTTATTGACACAATTTTTTTTTGTAGTATTAACACAGCGCGATAAGAGTAAAAACAAAATAATCAAAATAACGTACCAATTTCATGATACAGCCGAAATGTAATGGTCAAGGTGTTTGTTCAACGAATGCAATGAAAAAGTCTCGCTCTTTTGTTTTTATACTCAAAATTTCTTTTACACGCGACTATATGAAGTCACATTTGTGCTGTTTGTCATCACATAAAATGAGAACTTACTTTGAAACAAATTAATTGTTATAAATTGAATTTAAATTAATTTTGTTAAATGTAGGATAAATATATTATAATTTTTAAAATACTTTCACAATCTAGCTAAAAAACGCCCTCAAAAATTTAGATTGTCCAACGCAATATGGTACTAGCGAATAGTTTGGTCTTATTAATTTATCTACATTTGTCAAATGCTGTTAATGAAATAAGAATTTTGAAACAAGTTTTATATTTTTTGTACGTGTAGTGAGATTTAAGGAATATGTTACAAAATTTTTCCCAATTTTCGACCACAACGGCACATAGTTCACCATTCTAATCAACTTAAGATGCTTTGACGATGATGGATAGCAACATAACCAGTGTACGAGCTATATGCTCACCAAACTGTTTGCTTAGCGTGGCGAATATTAGGCAAAGCTTTTAAATAATATAAAAGTGCATACATGAAGCGATCTGGTATAATTTTTTCACTTTGAATTTGTATTGAATATTTTGTTTTTGACATATATTAAGGATACAGATATAGTTTATCAAAAATTATATAAATTGGTGTATTTGCTTTATCTTTTTTTATCTTGCTTTAAAACTTCCCAATTCTACTGTATTTTTTATGTATGCTAAGCGGTATTTTGCAAATTGTAATCGATTTAATTATTCTTATTTATATATACTAAACCTCAATAACAGTCCTCAATATAGAAATAAATAAAAGCCCTCAATATAATAAAATATACCTCAATATTTTAATGTAATAGAAAATTACTGCCTTAAGCCTTGAGGAAACGTAAAGGATGAAAATTACTTTGTAACTATTTAAACGGGATAGTTGTTGCCTCAAGTTTGTGAGTTTGCACCTCAAAAGAAAAAAAAAAACAATAATAAAACAAAAGGATGGAAAATCGTTTTAAAAAACTTTAAAGAATAAAACATATTTCACATTATGGTAGTGAAAGTTGGGTGTGACAGAAGAAGCACGAAAGTAGAATGAACGCAGTAGAAATGCGGTCGTTAAGGAGTATGTTAGGGCTGAATTTGAATGACAGGGTAAGAAATTGTGTGATAAGAGAAGAGTGTGGTTTGCAAGATGATGTTGTGACCAGGATTAAGAAAGGAATGCTTCGGTGGTTTGGTCATGTGGAAAGAATGAATGAGGAAAGTGTGACAAAGAAAATTTATGTTGCAAAAGTGAATGGCAGAGTCGGAAAGGGACGCCCTAGGCGAAAATTTATCTCTGGGTGACAGGTGTGAGTGTTTATGTCATTATTATGTTAATTTAAAAGCTTCTGAATTCGGTGTGAGGCCATAAATCTATTATTTAGAATTTAAGCCCTTATAAATGATAGATTTTAATTTGAACATTTTAATGTCAACAAATTAACTTTAAAACCAGAAAATATTTATTATTATAAATTTACTCATTTAGATACATTTTCTGAACAAAGTTCGTAGTGTTAGTGGTCTGGTAATGTTATTCTCGTGTAAGTGTATGATGGTTAAGTAATCTGAGGTAACGAGATGTTCCCATTGACTGAACAAGTAGAACGAATTTGGGACAGACTTTAATATCTCATAGAGAGATAGAGTGCTTATCTTAAATTTTAAAGCCTCACTTATAAATATGTACTATAACTGGCCATTGTCACATTTTTTAATTTTATATTGAAAATTTATTTTCAAAAAACGAATATTTACATGTAAAAATATGATTGTTGCGATTTCAAAATTCCCTTCACTCTTTATAAGAGCTATAATAAATATCGTGATTCATTGAAGAAAGGAGGGAAAAAAGGGGGATTTACAAATTTCGCCTAAACTGAACGAATCGTTTGATAGACTTTAAATAGTATTAATATACATAAAGAACCTTCCTAGACAACTGAGTATAACAAACTTAATTACGATGAGTATAGTCAAATTACTTATAAAATTATCAACATAATATATTACAGATTGGATATGATAGTGCTCATGAGATTTAAATGAACACCTTTTTATGTAAAGTAAAGCTACAGCTAGGCATCTTCTGTTTTCTCAGAGGGATTAAGGCAAGAAAGTTTTCACCGCACTACCCCAATGCGTTTTAACGGACACATGCCTTCGAATTTTAAACTTACTTTCTATAAAGCCGATAAAAAATTTTGACTACTCTATATTTTTCACTCTATACTAACATAGTCAATTAAGCCACGCGCGCAAATATCATCGGCCAGCTATCATTGGTTGTAGAATTTGTCGTGCATAGAACGTTTGTTTCGTTTAGCAATCAACGTCAGCGCGCATTGGGTGACACCTTAGCGGTCGGCTGGATCAGTACAATATGGATTACGGGGGTATCGTGTGTATTCGCTCCTCGTCTTTCAATACATCAAAAGAATTCCCGGAAAAAAAACTAGGTGACATTCCATTTGCGATCAATACTACCAAAGGATCGCAACCAGTTACAACCAGAGACTTTAGCGTCATGTGTACGTAGATTAATTTTTTCGTGATAATAATCAGACAATATCGTATTATTTATATCCGGCTACTTAAAATCGCTGCATTTTAATCTCCTTATTCTTCTTAACTAGACCTCACGCGCTTCTCGAGTTGTAGAGACTATTTGTCTTAATCGTTTAGCTTGGAAGTCAGATTAACGATCGCAGCGTTAAATGACAGCTAAATACTTTTATTTTTCGTATGGATAGTGTAAAGAACCGGAGACCCTTTTCACTGGAAACGGGGCATTCCATCTTAGTTCTCAGGGTTGGGTACGAATCTGCACTTTGATTCTTAATTGAAGATAGATGCAGATGTCTATGGGCTTCAGCATCCACTAACCGTCATGTGGACAGAGTGCTTGTTTATCATCATTATTGTAGTACATACAGTAGCTGATACCCGCTCGTTTCGCTGTGCGCACGATAATAGACGATAATAACGGAAATATAAAATATATAGTTTTGGAGATATTGTGATGAGTCAGTCAGTAGTATTTCTTATATATAAACCGTGCAATGGCGGTGTAAGAATATCCACTATTCCATATGGTCCCGTGGGTGTAGCAAGAGGCGACAGAGGGAAATTGAAACAGGGTGATGGGCAGCAGAAACTTCCAGGATAACAACTCTAAATAATAGAAAACTGCGGTTGACAACCCGCTTGCCGTGTCAACTTGTTTGGCAAAACCCCCATATCTATGAGGCAATCTATGGGGGAGGCCTATGTTCAGCAGTGGATTTTATAGGCTGTGATTATATATATACATAGTATATATATATATATATATATATATATATATATATATATATATATATATATATATATATATATATATATATATATATATATATATATATATATATATATATATAGATATAGATAGATAAATATATGGATAGATAGAATGATTAAATACCCGACCTTTGAAAATGCTGCCATTGCTGAAGCCATAAGATTTTTCTGGTATTTTTTGGAGCACAGTCGCGTCATTTTTAATGTTTATGTCATTTTTTAAAATCCAGTGCACCAACATAATTTCTAAATAATTTTAATAAATTTTGTGTGTGAATCTATTATCAATCAAGAAATAAAGGCTTAAATAATAATATCCTCAAGACCGAATTTCGATCACGGTGGACAGTCTGTACGCAAATTAGCTAACTATCCAGAGCAGTATTACATAGTGCACGAGTATATACTTACTACTAACACAGGTGTACTTGAGTTTACTCTTTATTCTCTCACTCTCATAGTTCGATGAGTCTTACATTTTCATGAGATATGCTACTATTATCCGAGGCACGGCGGTTAAATACAGCCAGCTAACCTACTCCAAGCTGGTAGAGAATTTCTTAACGAAAAAACGCAGGACCACATGATTCGCAGTGATTTTTACGATCACTAGATAAACGACGAAAGAAATAAGAATTCTAAACCAAACCAGTTACAGTATTAAAATTCCATGTTGTTTTTTAAATGATTTAAATCTGGTAAAAGTACATACTTTGATGAACTGATTTTCTTTTTCTTTTGTCTTTTTTTAGAACATTAGAGCAAAGCGGTTCCGCTAACATATTGTTATATAATTTGGCAAAATAGTTTGTAGTATTTTGATAATTGTATATTATTTTTTAAATTAATCGAGAAATATTTGCTAAGTAATATGATGTGAGCATTTGCTTGAAACGTCACGCTTGGCAAGCGGATTGACGATCGCAGTGCTACCATCTCGCACCATTGCCTCCGCTCAGCTGTTCAGATAGTCTCCGATCTGAATATTTTTGGATATATTTAACTTAAACAAAATAGTTATACCGCCATATTAACGGAAACCAAGAGATCTTTCCAAAACGTTTTATATATGCATCTAATAACATCTACAGGACGAAATAGGGTGATGGATTTTTTACGCCATCACCACACGGCTTTAATTTCAATATAGAGATATATATTAAAGACATATTTATAAATTAAACTTAGTATTCTACAAATGGTTATTTAAGAAGTTTCTCCTTCAAGTAAAACATAGAAAGTGACAAACATTAGTGTTATGTTCGTATGTTAGTTACGTCTTCCTTACATAATTTGATCATATTATAGTAATTTTAAACTGGAGTAAATTATATTTATTTTATAATTAATTTAATAACTTATTAATAAATAGTTAGGCTGTTAAATATTTTGTAGAAAAGGTGACTTAATGGTGAGATACGTTTTCCTGTAAGATGTTACTAAAATAAATGAAACATGCAAATTATACTCATTAATACATAATAAATAATTAGACTCATTATACCACAATTAGTAAAATCATTGAGATAACTTTGATGACAACTATATTATTTATGTTCGATTTGCTGATGATGCAGTTATTATGGATAAAATATATTGTATATAGTAAATATCATTGGAAAAATTAACACTATGATTAGTTACCCCAGTTGTGTTTTTCGAAGTGTAGACCTATAGATTATTATTAAGAACGAATCATATCTGATTTCCATGTTACAATTACCGGTACTCGTACGCCGACAGTTATTATCAACAGTACGGTAGAAGTTGTAGACAAATAATATACAAGTGATTGGATTATATATAGACTGGCACTGCTTTTCGTCGCCGATCTGGGTGTTAGATATTTGTTTCTCTACTGCAAGGCAAGTATTCTGAAAAGTTGACCCACTAATTAAAATCCACAGTTTACCAGCAACCTGGGTTTAATTCCTATCAGAACCAATGAAATCAAATCTCAATTTTGAATGCTGTTTAACACGCGCTCGGCAACGAAGGAAAATATCGTGAAGAAACTTGCGAGACTGAGGTATAAAATTTCTCGAGTACATGTGAAATCGCTTCATCACCTTATCAGAATTAAGAGAAGACCTGTTTCCAGTAGTGAGTCAGTGGGCAGTATTCGATATGCCGTTATTAGTTAAAAGGTAGTTTTTATACGTAGTAGAACCACGCTGCAGGTATATTATGGTTGAAGCACGAATGGGATCGCTCGACCGGGGTATGATCATGCTCTCACAGAATACCAACGTCAAATACTTTTTACTAGAAACGAGGCATTCCATTTTAATCCTTAGGGATGGTCACGCATCTGCATACATGTGTCTATGAAACCCAGCATCCAATAACCATAAGGTGGACTGTGTGCTCGTTTGTCACCCTTATTTTAGTAAAATAGTAGGTACATGCCGATTTTCTTACTGCTATTTACTGTGAGAAATACGGACATAATATGCGTATTTGTTTCAACAAGTTGTATCAGCATAATTATGTTACCGGCACCAACATAACGACCAATCTGTGGGTGTCTATTGTGTTGGGCAAATTCCAAACAATGCTTTATCTATGTTGTGTTGAAAAACAATGGATACTTAAAGTGTTGAATAAGTACAGATAAAATTTTTACAGAACATGCAGTTCAAGATATAATTATTTTAGATTGGTGTACTTAAGAGGTACATTTCAACATTTAGAATGCAACGCATATGCATAAACTGCGATCAATTGCATAAACTAATTTTGAAGAAGCATTTGAATATATTTAATATCCATATCTGAAGCGTCTTTGAATTTTCAAAATCCATATTTCGAATATATTCAAATGCTGAAGGTAGCCCGAGTAGACTCTCAGGATATCTAACATCTCAGTCCCTCCCTCTTCCATGACAATGGGTGATGATGAGTATCCGAAACGATGAGAATCAATCTAAGTCAAAGTAAACACGATTAAATCCGTTCAAATGGCATTCGATTAAATATAATAAATAATTAACTTTCATCAAACTTAAATTAATAACTTTTCTAATAACGCAGAATTCCTTAATTCTCAGATGTGACGACACGTCTGCATTTTGAAAATTGATATAGATGAAATTTGCACGATGTTCTTACTTTGTCTGATGACTCATTACTCTATGCCTGTAACTTTAATTTGCTGAATTGTATTAGTGACTGAAGATATTATGATCTATGACGTAAGTGAAAAGGTATGCGGCTAATAGAGGAGAACAGAAGACATGTTATGCTGACCCCAAATAACCTAGAATTATAAAGCTACGACCTATGAAAATTAAAGTATATGTACTTAATAATACGAAATATTTTGTATAAGCTTCCTGACCAAAGTGTTTTACCATGTTCTTATAAAATTTGATTTTGAATATTAATTAAAGTCAAGTAAGAAAACACTCAAATATATTTTAATATGGCCCAATGATATGCCATACAATGTTATTTATTTAATTAATTAATTCTTTATTGCATCAAAGATATTCTAGAAAAGGCGAGCTTAATGGTATATGGCATTCTCTACCAGCTAACCTCGTAAGATAGAGAGTAAGTTCTGCGCAGTTAGGTTGCCATGATCTAACTCAATACTCTATATAATAGTAGTAATTATATATACTAGTAGTAGGTAGTAGTCCAAGACAAAAAATCATATTAGTGGAAAAACAAGGTTGTAGAAAACGTAATAATGATTACAAAGAGAGGTCTACAGCGTTTAATGACTAATTAGACCCGGGTGCATTTATAAGTACAAAATATTATTGCATGCATTCATTGCAAGCCTCCCGAAAGCCGGCTGCTGAACATAGGCCTGCCGCATAGATTGCGGAGATATTTTCTATATTTGTCACGCTTTACCAGTGGATTTGCATTCGATTTTTTTTAATGTGAACTCTTAACAGGAAAATAGTGCTACCTTCCAGCAAACACCTTTTTTCTGTATCCTTCTGTCGCCTCTTATGACGTGGGTTGTTACTGAATAGTGGATTCTCCTACGCTACCCATAGCAAATTAACAACAAAAATAACTTAAAATACAAAAAGAACAAGCACGAGAGAATCTATTATCTTAAATCAAATATCAAAACCTAGAGATTATATTTACAAAGATAAAAACAGAGAGTGTTTTGATATAGGAGCAATAAGAAACCCGAGTAAAAGAATACAAAAATTTATTTATTATATGCTTATACAGAGGAGTATATTACGTATAATCTTAAACTACATATTGCAATGGCACGTAACAAAATTCATCGATGCTTCTCTACTAATAGTTCCAGTATTAATAGTTCCTGAAACCGGAGCTGGGGAACTGTCTGAAGGGAAGGTTGTAACGATTACGCGCTACGACTACCCCTGATCCTGAAGCGTCCGTATATTTTCCCTGATGGTAGCTTCCTGGAATATAAATAATATTATAAGTGAAAGTAAATTGCATATATACATCCCTGTCGTGGGTATACAATTCATTAGTTTTAAACAGCAAAAGAAAGAAGTAAAGATGCAACCCCGTTGTTCAACGAAATAAATTTTATAACTAGAATGTTTAAATTTGTAACAATTTACTGTAGAACCTTATCACAAATTGTGGTTTTAGAGTTATCATTACTTGTTTTCTAATATTTTGTCCAGAAGGTGAAGAATAGAAAAACAAAACTATATCTACTCGCGGATCTTTGAAGGTTGAATTTGGACGAATTGTGTGCGAATGTAACGTACTTTTATATTTAGCTATCTTTACTGATATTTGGCTTTGTTTAATAAGAAGTAATACAAATTTAAAAATTATTATAGATGTAATGATCGGGTTGGCTGCTTATTGCAGATCCTATTTCTCTCATCTTTGCCTTATTTAAACTCCAAACACCTATCATTATACACGGCGATGTATTTTTCCTAATACAGTAGTGTATGGTTTAATGGTGGCAGTAAAAGTGCACGTAAGTGTAAAAGAGGAAAGAAGCTCTTTAAAATAGGTCAGACATACCATTTTGTTTTTAAAGTGGATCTCAGTTAATATTTCGACATTCTACGTAATGAATTTCTATAAAGTAACGCTCGATTCTATTAATTATCAGATATGCAAATTTACTTCAAAAAATTTAAATGATTCGAAGTTCTCCTTAACATAGTAGCGTGAGAGGATCCACCACGCCATTTCGTCCCGTGTGAGTCGTAAGAGGTGGCAGTAGGAAATACCAGAAAATTGTTATAGCTTCCGATAGATGGCGAATGGCGATACAATCATTTCGTTTATGCCAGATATAAAATACCCACACCAACTACGAGCAGCAGCGACAAAGTAATGAGACTTCTGGTTCTGCATTCGTTATACCGTCTAGCCAAATCCGCCTTTCAACGAAAGACCTATGTCCAGACGTGGACTATATTATTAATAATAAAAATCATACACACCGTCATCATAAATGCCATTGGCTTCATCTCTGGCATTCTCTTGGAGAGCTCTAGCGATGGCCTCGGGGATAGGGTGCGGGGTGGGGAGATGAGCACCTTGCGCCTGGAAGCCGTTCGAGCCGGCGGTGTACCTCACGCTGTACACCTGACCGTCGTCGCCGACGTATGAATATCCACCTTGAGCTTCAATTCCATTTGCTTCCCGTCCAGTCTCCTCGGCTTGTATACCTGTAATTTTGTATGTAAGTTTAAAGGTATTAGGTTGTATATTTTTGTATATAAGGGTGGCATCAGAGGCAGCTGAATTAAGTAAATACGAGATACGAGAGTCTTTGAGAAATGACTACATATTTGTGCCCTTTGCTGTAAAGACTATCGGTCCATGGGGTCCAATCAGTGAAGTTCCTAAAGGAACTGTATTCGCGACTGGTCATCACTGCTGGTGACAAGAGGGCTGGTTCTTTTCTCGCTCAAAGGCTTAGTGGACCATTCAGCGAGTAAACGCATCCAGTTTTCTTGGAACGATACCACGGGTAGTAACTTTATGACAATGTAAATGTTTAGTTTTAGTTGTTCTTTATTATAGTTTTTTTAATATTATGTGTAAATAAAAATAAAATGAAAGTTTAAAATAAGGATATTATAATAAATAATATAGTCTTGCAAAGTGACTTGATACTAGTAAGTAAGGTAAAAGCACTTACATTAGTAGTTTCAAGCATTTAGTAAAAACCGATTCATTATTTTGAGGTTTTACATTCTATCTATTGCAGGCTATAAAAGAACATTGCTGTGTTGTCATTTGATATAGTTGCTACACATGTTCGGCTGATTGGCAACTACAGTTTTTATTATTTTGGTTTGTTAACGTGCAGACTACTACCCATCTCTTGCTTCAGTTTCCTATTGCTGCCTCTTACACACCCACGGACGACATGGGGTAGTTGACACACAACGCTACCACACGGCTACAACTTAATTGATATAGTAATTAATATATTCAAACATTACATTTACAGCATGTTGGTGACGCGAACTCTGTAAAATTATACCCATCCAAATAACGTACAACTCGTATATTACACGTGCAACACGTCATACTTGCAGAAATTTGCGTCACCGACATGTAGCTATTACCTACTGTTAAAATTAGCATGTCGGTGACGTGAATTTATTAGAACCGATCAAAAAATAGCTCAACGCGACTACAGACGTTTTCACTTTAAGTATTATTAAAAATAGGTTCACAATTGGCAAAGATATCGCGTAACCTACAGTTGCTAATTGACAACCTTTCTATTTTGTGAGGTTGGCTTAGAAGAAAGAACATGCACATTAGTTACTGCAAAAATATATAGATAAAAGCTGTCTAATAAAAACTATCGAATAAAAGGATGCATATGCGCAGCCCAAAGATCTTTAAAAGAAATAGAAGATAATATTAATCTTCGTCATATTGCATATATAAATTATAAAATATTATGGCACTTACAGTTTTCTATCTTCTATAATTTATTACTAAAATGGTAGTTTTTTTCATTGAATAACTATTATTAGAACGTTTAGGTAACATAGCAAAATAAATCTTTATGCTTCAAATTGCTTTTAGGTGAAAACTTTTATGTGAGATTATGTCATTAAAATTAGTTTATGAATTGTGGACTTATGTTTTTTTGAATTCGAATGAAAACAGACGTGTTATAGTAACAGCAGTTCTTTTTTATTAAACTAAAGTTACAAGCGATCTTAAAGTCCATCTATTGATATGTGGCTCCTGCAGCTTACAGATAACTGCAACTGATCAAATAAAAGCTTTAGGTGCGTTGTCAATTCTAAGTACTAAGTTAGAACGCCTCAAAACTTGTAATAACACTGACTGTCTATACTTTTTAAATCAAAACACAACAGTAAAAGCACTGCTATTAGGCGGCAAAAATAGATAAAAGGGTGGTGCCTACCCAGACAGTCCTAGACAGAGTCCTAGACAGAGTCCTACACAGAGTCCTACACAGAGTCCTACACAGAGTCCTACACAGAGTCCTAGACAGAGTCCTAGACAGAGTCCTAGACAGAGTCCTAGACAGAGTCCTAGGCAGAGTCCTAAACAGAGTCCTAGACAAAAAAGAGACCAACCATCTAGTAATGATGATGGGGCTCAAGAAATACATATATTACACATTACACATTTCACTGATTGATAACTTTTGGTTATAAGCTTGTTTCTTAAATTACGCCACCGCTTCAACAATTCACTGCACATCGCGAAAAGAAGAAAGAAACTCACAAGTACACTACAAGTGAAAACTGTACATACCGTTTTCTGTTTCGAAGGCATAGTGGTAGCCCTGGTCGTTTACTTCGGAGTCGGACCTCAGGATTGCAGCGTTTCTTTCCAACGCAGCTCTGGGTCTTATGTCCTGGTAGTACCGGTATTGTGGAACGTACGCTGAGAGTGCGCCAGCAGCGCATAATCCAATAACGGTGACTAGGATGATCTGAAATATATAGATATTTCTTTAGTATTTTTGTGTTAAACGTTCACAAAGGTTACTTTATAATTTGCGAAAATGATAAACGTATATTAGTTAAATAATTGTTATACGCGACTATAGCCGATTAGTTAAGTGTTCGCACTACGAAAGTTCGAATCCACCGTTCGACTACAATAGTGAACTTTCTTAGGACAAACATTTTAAGCTTAAATTGATAGGTCAATGGAAATGTTAGTATTTTAATAGTATTAATATTTCTATTTTAAAATATCATAAAATATACGTCGATAAAAAAATTACAACATTTTTATTTACGATTGTAAAAATGTTTAACAGAAGCCTTAAGAAATGTGAAATCTTAATCAGAAAATAAATTTCAATGTTATAAAGTATTATAGATGATAATATTGAAACTAACTATAGGGGAGAATGATGAAAAATAATTATAGGTGCATATTAAAAATGACGTTATTAACTATAACGTCTTTGTGACAATTTAAAAAGGAGTACGAGCTGTGGATCCGACTGGATTTTCTTATGTTTTATTTTTTAAATGATTGTATGTAACATGATATTTCCGACGTTTTTTTTTTGAATGGTCTTTCACAAAATTTCAATAAATTAAAACCAGATCCAATGATAATTAAAGTCAGATTATTATCCTTCAGTAAGCCAAACATTATAAATATTTATGTATTTGTTTTAGTTATTTTTTATTTATTTACTTGTAACTATTTTTTTAGAATTTTTTTTCAATCACGATAGTTACACAATAGTTATTTAACAAAACTCAGTTTATATAACTATCTTGAAAAGGGAAAAATTATGAAATGTTCGTTAATAAAAAACCTTAACTAAGTGTAACTGATTACGGATAAAAAAATGTCAAAGCAAATTCGTGATGAACTCTCAATATCTGTAATGATATTGAGAGTTCACTGCGAATCAAACTAGTTCACTGGATTTTGTAAGAGACGTACCGATTTCATGTTGTTATCTCTTCAAATATCGATCGAGGAATGTTGGTCGTAGTACTGGGCCCGACTTATATAGGTGTTTCATTTGAATGATTCCAGTGTCAAGGTCGTAGGATCTCTTGGAACGGAAGATCTAAACGTAAGCGTTAGATAGTGCGTGCAGTGGGCGTAAGCCCAGTGATGCGGACTATAGACGGTGATTTTAAGTCGAGGAGCTGTTTAACAAAATACATAATCATTTATTAAGACACATTTGGTGTATTCGAGGCGCTCTACATTCATTAATTCATGAACGTATATCTTCTTTTTATTCTCACCATAGATTACCTCAAAGGGAGAATAGTTGGTATAGTTGCTGCGGTTTGTAAGCGTATTGGCAATCGCGGGTTTGTACGTTCTATTTGTTATTTGGAAGGCTCTGATGTCCATCCCTGGTTTATTTCTGTCGGTCACCTTTGATGTGACTGATATCTTTTGATTTTAATTTTTTTTTTATTTTTGATGAAAATTTAACTATCTACCATATATAGCATATAAGTATCATCATTTACTTCATTTTATATATTTAAAATTAACCACTTTATCGTAATGAGTAAAAATATGAATTGAATAATTAGTACTTTTAACTGGTAGAGTCATACATTTTACGTGGTAGAGTCATACTGCAGCTATATTATGGTTGTAGCACTAATGGGTTTTGCTCGACCAGGGAAGGATCACGCTCTTATGTACACAGATTACCGTAAAATAGCAGCTTAATACTGCTGTGTTTCCTACGGTGAGTATAGAGAACCGGAAACCCTTTTTACAGGATATAAGGCATTTCATCCTAGTCCTCAGGGATGACAACGCATGTTCGTTTTGATTCATAATTATATATGTAGGCGTCTATGGGCCAGGACATCCACTTACCATCAGGTGGAACTGACTACTCGTTTGTCACCTTTATTCTATAATAAATTAACTTCGCTTTTTTTGCTAATGACTAATTTAAAACATACTTTATATAGCACACCAACAGTCTACTGAAGTCTACTACTGGAAAATCCCAAAGAATACTACGAGCATTACTTGGTACTGGAGTAGTTAGTACTGGTAGCCTTCCTTTGTATGGGTGGTTTTACCCATACTAACCTTTCAAGACAGGCGGGTGGATAAGCATAGAGTGGATATCCTCGTACTGATAATGTGACAGACAGGTGTTGGGTAGCATGTAAGGGTTATACGTTTTTGGCATTTTGCAAAACGAGTTAAGATAAGATTCCCAAAAACAACGCTTATAATCCTTTTTTGATCCATTATGTGTAAATATTTATTTTTTACTAAAGTAGGTAAAATTTTTATCTAAGTACAGGAAAAGTTTTAAGAGTTATGATGCTATGACTTCTCTAGATAGATTGACAAAATTAAGGGTTCCTTGAATGGCAGATTTATTCTCAAAATACAATGTATTTTATACGTGGTAGAGCCATGCTACAGTTGTTTTAGTAATATCGTTGTAGCACGAATGGGTCGGCGCGACCGGTGAACCACCACGCTCTCACAGAATACCAGCGTAAAATAGTAGCAAAATAGTGTTTCGTATGGTGAGTGTAGAGAACCGGAGACCCTTTTTACTGGAAATGAGGCATTCCATCTTAGTCCTCACGGGTGACAACGCATCTGCATTTTGATGCGTTATCGAAGATAAATGTAGATGTCTATGGGCCACAGCAACCACTTACCATCAGGTGGACTGTGTGTTCATTTGTCACCCTATCCTATAAAAAAAATACAGCCCACCTAATATTTAGTGTCAATTGCAGCAAGTGGAAAACTGGAACACTCACAGCGTAAAACTTTTAACAAAGTTTGTAGATGCGTCGTCTTATCTGAGAATTGAGATGCAATACCTCAGAGTCTGTCAATATACTGGATTTCTCGTTTTATTTGATAGATGATGACAAATCCCACTAGGTTTCTTGCTGGTTCTTCCCAGGACAGAGGTGTTTTCCGAGCCAATGGTAATTAAACAAGAGTGACTTTCAATAAGTATTATTTATAATCTGTATTGAATAAATGTGTCTGTTTATGTTTCCGTCCCTCCACCCTTCAGATTGGATGTCAGCTGTGCACGCGTTTCTGCTAGGACACGCAGGCAGAAAAAGTATGCATCTATAGCCATCTTAGAAGTTTTGTGCGGAGGTGTCCATAGGCCACAGTGGCCACTTATCTTCTGGTTGATTGACATTTATTTCTCTCTCTTTTGTTATTCCAATTTTATAAAAAAAACACTCGCGTCATTGAGATATTTTACACAATTTATTTTCGTAAAAATATACCTCCGCACTAGGATTTCCTCCTGTATCGTGAGAGAAATTCACTTTCTTTGTACGCCTATAAAAGAGGCAGAATAAGTGAACTTCTGTATTAGATTTAAGACCATTATGTATCACCTTATTCTGACAAATAAATAAATAAAAATACACATTTTTGTAAGTACAAATATCAATACCCTTTATAATTATTCGTAGGCCTTAGAAGCCCTTGTTGCGTGCGGGATTCGAATCCGCGGCCCTAAGCGCTGCAGCTCATTGTTAAGCACTGCGCCACGGTACCGTCAAAATTGCATGTGCCAAACATTTAGATACTAAGGCATATTTTGTTATAACGAAAAAAATTGTATCATGTGGTTATCAAACACGCGGCCCTCAGCATCGCAGCGAAGCGCTCACTAATGCGCCATCGGGGCTTCATTCAATCTAATTATCCTTAATACATCAAACAAGAAATAACCTAAATTACCCATGATTTATTATAAACTTTCAATACTGATGTCGTCAGTAGCTGACGGGCACTTTAATCTAATTTATTGATTTATTATAGTATTGATGATTGCTAGTTTCTTAAGAAAAATAAACATCGATAGAGATGATGACCTCCTACACCGTTATTTATAGTACGGGCATGCACTATGAGGTTTACGTCTGATAAATTGTTATTTTTCAGTTTTTTTTTTGTACGGAGCAGCGGTCACGGCGACCTGTCTCAACGGAGACTAGCCACAGCGAAGGACGAGATTACATTGTCCAAGTCCTTCACTCTCATAGTCCGATAGGGTGGCAAACCGACACGACTGGTGAGAGATAAACATAAACATCTTCAGAGAAAAACCCAATAACTGACTCTTCCCGAGTCGGGATTCGAACCCGTGACCTCATTGTCAGCAGTCCAATATATGTTTTCATTTTCCAAGCCTTCCATATTTAATAAAAATTAGCCTTAAAAATATATATTTCAATTATTTCTTTTTGTTTTATGTCATATAATCTGTGTTTTAATATGGTGCCTATTAGTATAATAACCAAATATTTTAATTAAAATATATTTATATTTTATTCCTGAAATTCCGAAAAATAATGGTTTATGTAAATAATATATTTCAAAATTAATGAATATGTGATAATATATTTACAAGTTCGTTTGCCTGAAGTGATGACACGAAATAACAATGGCCGAATACACCAAGAATATATTTTATTTTGCAACATTAATGCCAGGGAGAACTTTAAAGAAGTATTAAATGAGAAAATAGAACAACGTCAAAATAACAAAATCAATGCCCACTATACTTCTATTGATCCCAAGAAAACAAAGAATGCCGCGTTTTTCTTGAGATGCTTCGTTTTATTGAGATTGTCACCAAAAGAAGCTTTGAAATCAACTGTAAGCCATTATAGTTGTAGGTCACTTCAAGATGCAACGCCTGGTACATCGTACACAATATTAATATTAGGTTGCTTTAAGGCGATAAACAAAGCTCGAGAACTAGGTTTTTCTTTTAATTTTCAAGATTTTGATTTGTACTAAATTATAGACTTTTGAGTGATGTAGATATATTTTCACATTTTTTAAATTTTCTATGAATATTATCGCTCCAATACATTCACAACCGGATTTCCTACGGTGTCAAAATTGTACCGACGGAAGGCTGTTTAAAGGTAAAAAGGGATTAAATATACACATTAAACGATTCCATAGTAAAAATTATTTCGGCTTCACAGCCTACCGTAGAAATTCATGACTCTTCTGATAATATACCTAATGACACAAATTCTTCACTTTTTTCGAAACAATTACACAATTTGTATAGTAACGTACCAGTGGTTAAAAGAATTCCCAGAGGCGCGAGGATGCAACTTGCTAAAGCATTATCATTACCTATTCAAAATTGTCAAATTTGAATTACCCGATTAATACTTATTTCTCTCGACCTTATCCTAAATTTGATTTAAAAAAAGTAGTTGAATCAAAAGTAATGGACGGCGACTTAAAAAATGCATCCCGTATTTTATTCTCAGATGACATCCTCGCTCCTCGTAATGTCGAAACTCTTGAAGGCCTTCGTCAGAAACATCCTTCGGTCAATCCTTCCCAAAATTTACCGCTGCCTCCCAATACTTCTATGCAACCATTACAAGTTTCCGAAAAAGACACTTTAGACGCAATATTGTCATTTTCGAATGGCTCTTCCGGCGGCATTGACGGGATCACGCCTCAACATCTCAAAGACCTTGTAAGCATATCTGCCGGTGGCCCCGGTCGGGTACTTCTTAATGACATAACAAAATTATGTAATTTTATGCTCTCTGGTAATGTCAATCCCAATTTCATTCCCTACTTATATGGGGCAAGATTATGTGCCTTCAAAAAAAGGATAACGGTATCCGTCCTATTGCTGTTGGTTCTACATTTCGACGCTTAACTTCAAAATTAGCTTGCAAGCACATAATCTCAAACCTTAAGACAAAATTTCAACCTACTCAACTAGGCTTTGGCACCAAAGGGGGCTGTGAGGTGGCGGTACATTCGGTGCGTACTTTCTTAACTAATTCCAATGCAGATGTTCTTCTGAAGGTTGATCTTAGAAATGCTTTTAACTCTATTGATAGGATAACCCTGCTGAAAGAAGTGGCTAACAATACCCCCGAAATATATCATTACGTTTGGCAATGTTACAGTCAAAATTCAAA